ATAAGGTTGGGGTTACCATGCAATCTCCCTTCCCCAATCCTGTCTTTTTAATCTTGGGTTTGCACTTGACCTTGACAATCAGTCCCCTCTCCCATCCCAGTCCTAGAACTCAGTGGCCTTAGAGAATGGTTTCTGAGCTGAAGGTCCCTCCTTTGTTCCCAGTTCCACCCTGGCTAATGGGCTGGGACCTCAGGGGGCGAGGGGCAGGGAGAGAGCATGCGAGAAAATGGTTTTAAAGCAGAAGGATGGCTCGAGCATGTTGGAGGCAAGCGAGAGGCATGTTGGTGAGATGAATGTGTGCATGTTTGGAATGGCTGGGGCTTACCATCCCTTCCCGGGAAGGCGGCTTCCAGAAGAGGATGTCTTCTAGGCAGAAAGGGAAAAGTGTGAGAATGCTGAGAGAGTTTGGAGTCTGGAGTTTAGTCTTCATTCAAAAGAAGGAAGAAGTCAATTCTGAGTGTTTCAGGAGGAAGAGAGCAGGTACAGAGGGAATTTACTGATTCAATACCCAAGGGTCCAGTCAGAGTAGGTTGGAAAAGCCCTAAGATTTGGCCACAGAAGGAGCTAGCCCGAGGAAACCGCTACTTGCTGGGACACAAACTGGGTCCCCAGCACGTTCTTAATGAACAGTCACTGATTTACGTAGTGGAGACAGGAAGTCACTAGCAACAAGCCAGTCTTTGAGTTTGGAGGCTCTGGCTCGAGAACATTCATCCATCTCCCAGGTTCCCAGCTGGTTTTGCCCACATCCCTTTGTCCAATCCAGAGGTGGCCTCTCAAACTGCTCAAATTGGTTAGAGACCAGTGACCGTAATGGGTTGTACAGTAAGGACCCACTACCCCACCAAACTGGAACCTCAGGGTCCAGACACTATCGAGCATGTCTGGAAGGAAGGCAGCCTCATTTCTTTGGTTAACACCAGTTATTCTGGCGTGTCTCTGATGTTACCTGTGGCTACTCGGTCTGCTGAGCCTGCCTTGTAGGTGTGACTTAGAAGACAGGGCGCAGTGCGCACTCACACGTGGATATGCCCTTTCATTCTCAGTGGCCTGTGACCAAGGCACATTTCCATAAGCGCTTACTTCAGAGAGAGAAGAGTAAACAGCCACCATTCTTGGATCTGCAACTTGTTCTCGGCACCAAGTTTTCTTTAAAGGCAGGACACAAGATGAGAACAGGGTTTCACGAACAGTAGTACTGAGAGGTCTGCCGGAAGGTGACTTCTGAGTGAAGATGTGAGTGGCAGGTCCTTGGAGGGTGGTTTGTGGACTGCATGGTTGCATGTGAACTGCTGGGTGTCTCTGGGGGATTCTTCATGGTCTCCACTTAGCCCCTCCCAGCTCCTAGTGGGCTCTGTGGGGTCAGGAGAAGGTTGTGCCCTCTTCTGCCCTCAGCAGAGAAACTGAAGAAAAGGACATTGAATTCAGTGCAGTCAATTTGAGTGCTAAAAAATTTCCAGGATCAATGGTGGTGCTAAACTATCTCCATGTTTCTAATATTTTTAATAGTGGGATTTTTTTTAATTGTTCTCATCACAAAAATGCAGTGTCCTTGGGGAAGGGATCCAGCCCCTTGGCCTGCCACTTCTGGGTGTCCTTTATCATTGTTGACGGGACTCTTTGGTCTGCAGAAAATACTCTGTCTTGGCATGCTTCTAGACTGTAAGATTTGGGTTGTTTTGTTTTGTATTTTGTTTATGTTTACATGCATCTTGTATTTCCCTGAAAACTAAATAAAGTTTTTGGCCTTTTTAACTGAACAGAATCACCTCTTAATTCTCCCTGTCATCAGAAAAGCCATCCAGCTGAATGGCAAAAGCCACATTACCCAGAATACAGCATGAACTGCAGGATCCAGGGCCCTCTGAGGACACTGGAGGGGCGGGGTGAGGCAGGTAAGTTGCCACCTTTGTTGGTGAGAATCAGACTCAAGCTTTTCCTCCCTCCCCCACCATCAGGAGGCTTTCTGGGAAGCAGCCAAGGCTTTGAGAGCGAGAAATGCACATCTTGGGGCAAAAGATCCACATCCAACAGGCCGAGCTGGCCTCTCAGCTTAGAGCCCCCCCGACCCTACCCTACTTTTGCTGGACCCCAGGAAACAGTGCTGGGCCGTGCTGGTGTAGGAAGCAGCAGAGGGCAGGAAGGCAGGCCTGCTATGTGCTTGAATCCCAGCCCCACCAGATGAGGGCTGCCACATTTTGCTAGACACACTCCACCACTCCCAGCTTCTGCAGCCAGGCAGATCTTCTCAGCCCATCCAGAAGCTTTCTCTAAAGGTCCCTGGCCCTCCCTTTCTATCTAGCTGTCACCCATTTAATATCATCAACCCCCTCCTGACCTACATGAAGGACCGGTCATCTTCCCATCGGCCCCTAGGTGGCAGTGCCACCCCACAAGGGTTTTGGGCCAGGTTTGGGCCCACCTCAGCCTTACCAGAAAGCTGAGCAGACCTCATGGACTCCCACTACTCCTGCCCCAATAAACACTGCTCCTCACAGGCCCAGGGACTTGAGGCCACCGAAGGGCAGTGGCTTCTCCCTTTGAACTTACAAGGTTCACCTGGCAGGCTGGGCCCCTGCTGTCCAACTCCAAGTCATGCTCCAGTCCCCCATTTCCAGGGAGTCTTCCCTGGTTCTTGACTCCCTTCCATATCCAGGACACCTGACCCTTCACCCCCACTCTCCCTCCCTCCCCAGCCCTCCACACAGCACAGCCCTCGGGCTGATACGAAATCACCTTTATTCACAATCACAGTGACCCAAGTTCACAAAGGAGGCAGCAACTATCCCAACACTAACAGAGACAGTGGTACAGATGGCTTCCTCTCCCCAAACCTCGGGCCACACAGCCCCTGCACTTAAGACCTTTCCTTGCCTTGGAGATGAGACTCCAGACTGGATGGGGCCACCATCTGGCCTACCCCACCCTCCTCCCACAGAAAGGGTCTCCGGGGTCAGTGACTGGGGAGTAGACACCCAGTGGAACCATGACTTCCTAGAGGCCCACTGCAAGGGAGGTGCAAAGTCCCAGCCTGGGGTTCTGACCCCCCAGTGCTGTCCCACCCACCACCCTATAGCAGCCCCTCACCAGAGAACTCCCAAGAGTCACACACAAAGTCTTCTCCCCCCTCCCCTCAATCATTTTACAGAGGTGGCAGCTGAGGCTGAGGGGCTATAACCTGGACAGGGCCACACAGCTGCCCAGTGGTCAGGTCTAGAACCCCATACTCCACCATTCGTGGGAAACAGCAGTCTCTGATGGATGTAAAAAGCCATCGGAGGGGGACAGAGGGTTGGGAGGCTGGGGGGAGACTAGGCCCTCAGAGTGGGCCCCGGCCCATCGCCTCTCAGAGTAGGGCAGGCAAGGCTGAGAGAACTACAGCCTAAGAGCAGGGGTAGGGGACCCTTCTTCACTCCAGAATCAGAATAACCAGAGGTGCTAGGACCTGGCCCCTTCTCTCATCTTTCCTGGGGCTTAGCCTAAGAACGGCCTCCCTGCCCTTGCTATGAGTAGGCCTCCTGTTCCCTGGCCCAAGCTGGGCTCCCCTCCTTCAGCCTCCCCAGAACTTTTGACGTCCTCATGGAAGGGGGAGCTCCTGGGCCTCCTGATGGATTCAAGCCAACTTTGATAACCCTGTTGCAGCCCAGAGAGGAAGGGCACTTTGTGGCTCTGGGTGATCCGCCAGCCCTAGGACATTAAGCTCAGTCTGTGTCTCTGTAAAATGGACACAATTTGACACAATTTGAAGGGAGGCCTCCCAATTCAGCCCCTTTTTCTGGAGTTCTAATTCATGGTGAGCAGAGCTGTCTATGGACTTTGGGCTGGAGCCTGGGGAAAACTATGATAACTACCTCTGCAGCGCGCTCTCACCAGGCACTCCACACACCAGGGCATTTCTAGGAGTTCGAAGGGCTCGGGGGACAGCAACTCACTCCCCCAACCCCCCCATAAAAAGAAAAAAACAACCTACAAACCAAATAAATAAATAAATAAGGAAAATGGCTGGTTTTACCCCAGGGGATCCCACCCCCACCCCTAATCCAGGGCCCTGGCCTCTCCTAGGGATGCTCCAGCCTCTTTGAGTATCAGCCAGGCTCAGGACAGTACTGAGATCTGGGAGGACAAGTCACAGCAGATGTAAACCTGTTCTTAGCCTGACAGAGGACAGCCTCTGCTCTCTCGCTCACACCGAGAGGCTGTTCCTGGGCAGCAGCATCTGGTGAGATGACTGGGGCAGAAAGGTTATGGCCAGGAAGGGGCCCTTTGCATCTCAGCCAGGGCACAGGGTCAGGGACCCAGAACCTGGAGCCTTCTGTGGCCTGTCCATCCACCCATCCTGGGTGAGTGGGAAAGGGACATAGCATGGAGGCTGCAGCCTGCCCAGGATGAGAGGTATCCACTGGCCTTCTTACCCCTGGTTGCCAGGCCTGAGGGCCAGGGAAGACAGGAAGGAAAAGGGTACAGCTCCGAGAGGAAGGCAGCAGCTCAGGGGCTGCCTGCCTAGGGCTGCCGTTGAGCAGATTATACACTGCCCAAGGGCAGTTGGCTGAGAGAACAAATGGACACTGAAGTCCAGGCCATACTCCGAATGCCCTAGCTCAGGGACACATCTGCCCGGAGGCAGGGATACGTTTTCTCACTCTTACATGGGCTAGAGGACTTCCTACCAATCTGCCCCAGATGGGAAAGGATTAGGACAGGCCAAGACCCCCACTTAGCCCCTCAGCATACAGGGAAGAGCTGGCTACAGAGAAGGGGAAGACAGAGAGTGGACTCCTCGCCTCCCCTCTGCTGGGGAATCTGCTCCTGCCCCTCACCTCCCTGCCTCATACCTTCTTTCTTCCCAAACCTTTAAGGGCCTCAGTTTCCCATGTTTAATGGAGAAGAGGAAAGAGTTTCCAAAACAAGTACGAAGAGAAGGGGCCCTGTTGGCTTGCCCCTCAGCTGGAGTGGGGTCGAAGTCTGAGAGGCAGGTGTGCAGGGTGGGGCGCCATGACGGGCTAGGAGCTGCGGTAGGTCTTGATAATGTCCTTGATGGGGCGACGGCAGATGGGGCAGCAGGCGTGCAAAGCCTTCTTGAGGCGCAGGCCACAGGCATAGCAGAGGCACATGTGGCCACATGTGTAGATGACCGTGTCCACTGCATGTTCATAGCAAATGGTGCACTCATCGCTCCACTGTCCTGTGCCCGGGGTCACTGGTGACTCAGGCAGGCTCACTGGAGAGTTGGGGGCTGTCCCTGGGGACAAGGGGACACCAAGTCAGTGGGAACATAGCCCAGTCTGGCCCCACGTTCATGGGGAGAGAGCCCCCTGGTCTCTTACCTCCCAACAGGCATCTGCCTGTTTACCCTGACAACCCACTTCCAGAGCACTAGGGGGCACTAGACAAGGGCCAGGGTGCCCATAAGGTGGTGAGAGAAGAAGGGATAGAGGAAGGTAGGGGGCCCAGAATCTTTTAAGGCGGGCCCCTCCTGAGCTAACCTTCGGTCTTCCCTGTGTGCTCAAAAGTGCTTTGGAGAAAGGTGTCCAGCTGGGGGACAGGAAGGGATTCACCCCAGAAATCACCACCCCACGGGGGTTCACTGACCTATCTATCTCCAGCTCCTCCAGGGCCCAACTCTGTCACAGAGGCTGCATGCCCGCCTCGGCCAGGGGTCTCGGGGCAGGGAGTCTGGCACGGACACCACGGAACCGGAGTAGCCAGCCTACTTACCGCCAGCAGAGCTGCCCAGAGGTCCAGAGCTGCACGTGCTGAGCAAGGGGTCGGAGAGGCGGCTGCCCAGGGCGCTGGGCGAGGTTGGCGTGGAGGCAGGGGAGCAGGAGAGTGACGGGATGCTCCGCTCTGCCAGGATGGTGGAGCCTGCGGAAGGGGAGAGAGGGGCTCACTAGCCGCTGAGAGGCCTACCGGGAGAGAGCTCAAGTCTCCGCTCCTCCAGGGGGTTCCCAGGAGAGAAAGTGGTGACACGGCCTGACCACACAGTCCAGCCACTGGGCGGGGCCAGGGCAGGATTCCACAAGCCAGCCCAGCACCCTGCCCCAGCTCTCTGTTCCACCTACAAATCTGGGGGCCCTTTCTTGTTCTGAGCTTACTACATCAGCAGTCTCGAAACAAGAGCTCTGCTGAGAATCCCACCTCCACCCTTCCCATGCATCCTCACCTTCAAGGTTTCCCAGACAATGACGTCCCCCTCCTCCCACCTAGTGTGGCCCTTCCAGTCATAGCCTGACCCTCCCTTTCTAAGCCCTGTGTTCTCTCGGTCACTGTCCCTAGATATCACCCACCTTCTCCTCTGCATAAGCACCTTTGAAATTCCCTTCACCATCTCCCAAGCTTGTTCTGTGCTACACTCGCTCTCCTTCCTTCCCTCCCTCCTTTCTCTCCCTCTTCAACAGCTCTCCTCACCTTCCTCTTCTCTTCCTGCCCTCCCTTGCTCGTCCCTTCAACAAGTCCTACCAGGCACCATCAACTGTGTAAACATAACACTGAGAACAAGATGGACAGGGCCACTGCCCCCAAAGAGCGGACTGTCCAGGGAGCCCCTCGGGGCTGTCCTCAAATCTCCTCCTCTGGGGAGCTTTGACCACCCCTCCCCCAACCACATTACTTTATTTACCACTGACCCGCCACACACACCACATACACGGGACCAAACCACACAGCCTGGGGTGATATTTGTTCTTTGCCCAGGAATGCAGCTTTGTTTTCCCAGTTGAACTATGAGCTTCCTGAGAGCAGGAAATCGTATTTACCTGTGACTCTCCCACAGGCTCTAACATATTGCCCTATACATAAATGTTCAGTGAGATCTTCTCTATTATTATCTAACTTGTTTAACAGTCACTGTATCTAAGAATATTCACTAGATATCTGCGACAGCAGATGGGGCAGCAGGCGTGCAAAGCCTTCTTGAGGCACAGGCCACAGGCATAACAGAGGCACATGTGGCCACATGTGCAGATGACCGTGTCCACTGCATGCCCATAGCAAATGGTGCACTCATCGCTCCACTGTCCTGTGCCCGGGGTCACTGGTGACTCAGGCAGGCTCATTGGAGAGTTGGGGGCTGTCCCTGGGGACAAGGGGACACCAAGTCAGTGGGAACATGGCCCAGTCTGGCCCCACGTTCATGGGAAGAGAGCCCCCTGGTCTCTTATGTCCCAATCCATTTATTGGGTTTCTCTTAGTGTTAATAGTCTTTTAGTCAATTATCATCTTCTTTCATAAAGTCACACCTCCTATTTGCTTTTCTTGCCTTATTGCACTGGCTATCGTTTTCAGAACAATACTCTAAGGCATCCCTATCATATTCCTGACTTTAATGAGAATGTTTCTCACGTTCCATCATTAAGTATGAAACCGGCTGTAGTTCTGAAATAAAGGAAATATCCCTCCATTCTTAGTGCACTTAAGCCTTTCACAAAGCAGAGCACACCTCTGTAAGGTAGTTACCCTTCACATATTGTCACTGGGTTTTCCTTGCAGTTCCATCAGGATCCCCAAACACCAATTTGCTGACTGAGATGCCCAGTTCTCCTACCACCCAGAAGCACTATCTTTAGCATATATTGTTTAGCAAACATCTGGAAGATTATTCTTAAACCCCCACCTTAGCCCCCTTACCTCTCGAGATATTTAAGTCCTGATTTTTTTTTTTTTTTTAAGCTTCTCCTGTGTCTAGTAAGCCTCTTTGGGGAACAGAAGTCTCATTGGAAAGCTACTTATCTATTATTAGATGGTGCTGAGGTAAGAGAGTACCCTGCCCTTATGGAATTTCCTTCATCTGAGGAGCAGTATCTCCCAGTGAGTGTAGCCAAGTACCTTTTACCTCAGCCTGATTTTTTCTGTACCCCAGTCTGATTTCTTTTTATTCCATCCTGAGTTTTCACCCCAACTTCCTTCCATCCTCAAGTATTTTCATCCAGCCTGATGTCTTTTCATTCTTTCCTGATTTATCTTCCCTTAATAACTTCTTGGCACTTCAACCTCATTATTTTCATTCCTTTTCAAATTTATTTTTCACTCCATTTGGCCTCTTTCCAGAGTAGGAAATCCCCACTTATTTTATCTGATTTCACAAACTCTAACACATTCACAATCACCAACAGCATTATACATACAAATACACATGTACTCACTCATGTGTGCCTATACACAGACATATCAGTTTTAGAGCATAATACACCTTCACTCGTATACACACGTTATCTTGTCTACAAAGCCTCCTGGGGTGAGGTCTAGGCTGGGGCTATGAAGCCCAGAGGTCTCCAAATATATCTAAGCAAACTTGCTTAAAAAAAGAATTCAGATGCCTAGGATGTACACAATCAAATCTGCAGGTGGGATTGAAAAATCTGCACTTTAGTAGGTCCTGCTAGTGAATCTAATGGAACCAGTCCAGTCAACCGCAACTGATTAGCAGGCCAGCTCTTGCAATGTATGAAATACCTGCCCACTTGGGGGAAACAGAGGTCCCTGGAGATGGTTTGGAGTATGTCTTACTTTGATTAAAAGAGAAAGTGGGTTGATTTCCCTGAAAGTTTCAAGTCCCTTCAAAAGGAAACCTGATAAAAGCATTTACTTAAGTTCTCTCAGCCTGTGTCCTTTTCTGCAATGCTAAGCTCAAAAGGTAATTGTTAGGATAAGCTGAGACAATTTGAGGTTCTGGGGAAGGGGGATCCCCCTGACCTTCCAGAAGGTAGGACACCAGTGCATTCTGGGGAAGACATTTATGTCAAGCTTGTCATCTGAAGTGCCTCAGCTTAGTTCTAAATGCGCCAGATCCGTGTGGGAGGTGTGCCTGGGAAGTTATTGTAAAACTTTATAAGCCAGCCATTTAGAATGTTTTTTCTTCCTTCCTAGCCTGATCCTTGCTTAACAAACAGATGTCCTGCAGGACTTTACTTCCCTATCTGCCTAGGTCCTGTCACCAAGTAAGTCGCTAACAACGCCGGGTCGGTATTTCGGTGCATGCTGGAAAGGCTGGCGGAGGAGGGCGCCAAGAAGGCCCAGGTGGCTGGCCCCGAAGCCGCCCGGCCTGATTGTCACTGTCTTCTTCCCCTCTCTCGTCAGCAGACAGCGAAGTTGAAAGCTCTCGATCACTGGCGGCCCTCAAGTTTTCTACCCCGTTCCTTATGGCGGTTGCTGCCAAGGGCGCTGACGCCGACGAGGGCGCTTCCAGGAGCTCAGGCGACTGAACGCGTTACGCCGAGGGCGATGACGAGGCTGCCGCCGGTTGCTCTATCCTGCAGAAGCCAACTCGCGCAGCACAATGTCGCTGGCGAAGGCTACCCGCCCGCTGCGAGTTCGACGGCGACCTTCGCTTCACGTTAAGCAGGCGCGGGCTGGCGCTGCGAGCACCGGATCCTAGACGAAGCAGATCGTGGCTTTTTGTTTGAGCATCGGGCGCCGAAGCGCTGCCATTGCCTTCACCAGTCCGGCTCAGCGTGTCGACCACTTTCGGGTTGGCACACGCCGAGGCGGGCGCTGCGCGTCACCCGGCGTTTCTCCTTCGGCGTCACCACGCGGCGACTCTCTGGCACGCCAGGGCGTCTGCAGACCGTTCTTCCACCGGGGGGGCCTGAAAATATGGACTGACCGCGAGAAGGGAATTTGGGGATGTAGGCCGCCATGCGTGTTCTGTGTAAGCCCCTGCATTACGGGCGGTTATCCTGGGCCTGGTGGTCGACCTGCTGCATGGGGAAGCTGCAGAATTTAGCCACAACGGGCGCCGCTGGCAGGTGGCGGAAGTTGTAAGGGGTGATACCGCAGTCAGCTTGATGCGCTGGCCTGTAATGGGCCGCGTTTACGCGACGCAAGACCGTGAGGTGCCTTCCCCCCTGATCGCCTTCCACACCCGCACCGTGCCTTTCCTGGAGACGTACCATCCGGTAGGCGGAGAGAACAGGCCAGCCGTCCTACTACCACCGCTTATCGTCCCAGGCACAGTAGTCCCGTGGGACCCATCTGTTGTACCCTTGTCCTCACCACCAGAGGCATCCTGTATGGGAGAAATGTGGATCACTGAGTTTTCAGAATCTGACAATTGTGTCCCTATAGATGCATAAACGCCTTAAAAACACACGCCTCAGTGTCACTTAAAGATGACAAAAGTGGCCTTTTCCATCAGCAATAATACTATTGAGTTGTTTCCATTTCTCCAAATGGGAATAAAAAGTTCTGCCTCATGTAAGGAGATGGTTGTGTGTCTAGGTAAGAAAAAGAGTGGTGTGTGTTGGAAGCCAGGTGTCTGGTGCAGGGTAGCCTGATTGGGAGTCATGGGGAATCTGGAGACAGGGGGGCCTTGGGAAGAATGGGGTTGCAGAGAGGTTCATGCTTTCATTCCTGGCTTTTGGACAGGACAGAGTCTAAATGGACTGGTGGATGACTCGTGAGAGTCCTCGTTTCTCAGAGTACTCCCTGTGGGATAGGCGCCTGTTGAAAATGGTCCTTGGGTGAAAATTAGGGAAAAACACTGAGTTGAGAAAAGTGGAGGGTTCTTTTATTGCAGAACTTCTCAGAGCCTTTTTTTATTTATTTTTTAAGTATTTCAGAGAATGGGGGCGGGCACAGAGAGAGGAGAGAGAATCCTGGGCAGGCTCTAGCTGCCAGTGCAGAGCCGGATAAGAGGCTCTCATTCTCCCACAAACTGTGACATCAGCGATCTGAGCCAAAATTTGGGAGTCAGACACTGAGGACTGAGCCACCCAGTGCACTCCTCTCAGAACTCAGGGCAATATGAATCTTTTTAAGGAGTGAGGAAGTGTGTTAGGGTACAGCTTTATCTAATTTGACCAGAATTCCACCACCTCCCCCCCCCAC